GAGAGAGAGAGAGAGAAAGAGAGAGAGGGAGGGAGAGAGGGAGAGAGAGGGGCTAAGTGTTTCTGGCCTGTGAAAGGAACACAGTTTCAGAGCCAGGACACAGAAACCGCATGTGCTTGCACAACACCATGAAAACACAGGCCACCAAGCCATCCTCTGCAGCCCACATGGGCTCCAGCTGGCTGCCCAGGTGGGCCAGGGGTGCCCTGCAGGGCCAGCCTGGTGGGCGGGCAGCTGCAGAGTGGTGGGGCATCTGGGAGCAGGGAACCGTGGGAATTCCACGGCAGCTGGGGTGTGAAGCGTCTCTCTTTGCACCCAGGTCAACACCCACCCACCGCCGTGAGCAGTCCCACCCCTGGGTGTCCACCCCGCAGACAGGCATGGTGTTTTCAGCAGAGGGTACCCCAGAATGTTCAGGAAAACACTCCATGTTGACTCAAACAGAAACCACCCAGAGCCCCCAGCCCAAGTTAAGGCATATCCATCAGAGGACTACTGCACAGCAGTGAAAAAGGACTGAGTGCAGCCGACCCCACAAGGAAGAGGCCGGGGCAGCTCAGGGGAGCACGCACACTTCCGCTGGCTGAGCCTGAGGCACTGTGGGAGCAGAGCACGGCCCCGTGTCGGGCTGTGCTGCGTCAACTGCCCAGCTAGGGGCAGAGGAGAGGGAGTGGAGCAGGGGTTGGGGGCGATGGGGGTGGGGCGAGGCTGAGGGTCTAAATGACTGGGGGGGGCTGAGGCCTGCGGGCCACGTCCCAGGGACGTCCCAGCAGGCTGCGAAGGATCGAGGCGGCGTCGGAACTGGGACCCGGGAGCCTGGGGTCTGCCTCAGGCACCAGGGGGCTTCTGAGGCTGGCACGCTCTCCCGGGGGCTGGTCCCAGCTGTGTGAGCCGCACACTGTCACGAGGCCCACTGTGGTGAGGGTCTCCCCAGCTCAGCAGCCCAGGGCAGGGCTAGACGCCCACATCGGGCCCACCGCACGTCCCCATCAGCGAGGGCAGCAGAGCCGAGGAGGCCGGGCGGGCGGCGGGCTGGACCAGGCCTCCCGACTCCCGGGAACAGCTGCAAACAATCAGGAGCTGCTGCCTCCCTCCCAGCCCCCGAGAGCCAGCGCAGGGACCTGCAGCAACCCACTGAGAGCCCTGGGGGACCTGGGCCASGGGGCCGGCGGCCCTGGAGCCTAGCAGAGCTCAGAGGTGGCCAGCAAGCCCTGACCATTGGCCCCGTTGGCAGGGCCCGGTCAGGTACAAGGACCGGGCAGGGGCAGGGAGGCTGGCCTGCAGCTCAGCACACAGCTGGCGGGTGAGAGGGTGCCCGGCCAGACTCTGGGTCTGACTCCAACTCTGACACCTCTGAGGTCTGCAGCCTCGGGGACCTGGGTCCACTGCCCAGGCCTGGTGCCCTCCTGGGAGGAGTGTACAGCCATGTGCCTGGTTTTAGGTGTTGTAGGGCCTGAATGAGTTGAAGCTCTGGACACGGCACTGGGCATTTTGACTGTCCCCAGATGTGAGCCATAGACCGCAGGCCGCGGGCTGGCTCATTTAAGTGCCTACTGTATGCCAGGCCCCCTCGAGGCTCTCGGATTCGCTCCCGCTGCCGGCTGCTGTCTCCCCTGCACCCCCACCCAGGCCCACCTTTGCCAGAATCCTCCGTGGCCGGGAAGCTGGGGACCAGCCACCTCCGGGCCTGCGGGGGATTTTCTGCTGCAGGCTCGTGGTCAGCCAAGGAGCCTCTCGGCACAGGGAGGATTTATGTGCAGTGTTTGTCCCCGTCCCCTGGCAGGTCAGCTCTGGGGATCGTTTATCAAAGGGGTTTTATGAGGCCTTGAAGTTCACAGATGGAGGCGGGGGGCTGGCGTCTGCAGGAGGGGACCCTGGGCTGCTCGCTCCCAGGGCCTTTGTCGGGTCAGGGGGACAAGGCCAGGTTCCAGGGCACCTGGTTCTGCTCAGTCTGTCCCCAAGCTCTAACCCTGCGCTGTGTAATGGCGCTGTGCTCTTGAACAAGGCCCGTCCAGCTCACAGGTTTCAGCCGCGTCCCTCCAGGCCCCAGAGGTGAAGGCCCCTCCTCCACTGAGACCCCGGGGGTGGGGGCGGGCGGTAGAATGTGCTGTCTGTGTTTAATGAATTAGCACAACGGGTGTCCACCAGCCGCCTGCTCCAGCCACCGGCCCTGAGCCAGGCCCTGTCCCTCAGACCCTCCGTCTCCCCCCCACGCACACAGGGCCTCCCCTCAGGCCTCCACCTCTCCTGTGCCCCACGAGCCAACGGATGCAAAACGCTCAGAGGCCCAAGGCCTCCATAAATCCCAGGGACTTTATTATTATTATTATTAATGGTTCCATTCTTCTCCCCGGGAAGGAGGGGACATCTTTGCCCGTGGCCTGGCATATCTGAGGCTCTTCCTGAGGGTGGCAGAGAACTGCTCTCTTCATTCTTAGGCAAAAAGAAGAGAAGAAAGGGAAATAGGGCGGCAGACATGGATTCTGTTTTTCTGGTCCCCAGGGAGCCAGAGGCCAGACACGCACACACGGCCTCCCTGGGAGTCGGGTCAGGAGGGACCCGCCAGGGAGGTGCCTGGCTCCCGAGAGGGAGGCCAAGGTGCGGGCGCAGCRTGGAGGGGGGAAGAAGGCAACACCTTGGCCAGAAGGGGCGCCAGGTCGTGGGGTGAGGGCAGCCGGGGCAGGWGGAGGCCGGGTTGGCGAGCCGCTCCCCGGAATGAGGGACGGAGCCTGGAGGCACCTGGGGTCAGCATAGTCTGGCTCCCTCGTCCTTGCGCGGACTGGACCCCAACCACCTCCCGGCCCCGTGGGCCCGGGGCAGCGCCAGGCCAGCCTGCTCGGGCTTGGCCCGGGGGAGAGGCGGCAGACGGCTCCTGGGGACAAGTGCTGGGAGCTGGAGGCGACTCGCGGGCCAGGGCACGGCCACAGGCAGCTGCCAGTCTGAGATGCGCCTGGAGGTTCCCGGCTGGTGGCCTCTGGTCTCCTGCAGACTCGAGTGGCCTGCTGTTCTGCTCCCAAGGCGGCGCTGCCGGTGGGCAGTGCGGATGCTCTCTGGGTTCCAGGACCCACGACCCAGCGGTGGGCAGCAGCCTGGAGGGAGCCAGGGCTGTGGGCCAGGAGGTGGCTCTGCTGGGGACAGRGGCTGAGGCTCCGGCAGCCCTGGGCGGGCACGTATGGACGGCTTCTGTTTGAAAGGGGAGCCGGGTCCACGAGGCCCACGTGCCGCTGCAGGGGGCCCTGAGTTTCCATCTTCTCCGGTGTCACCCAGCCTGGGTCCCACAGGCACTGCCAGGCCCTCAGTGTCCTCTGCTGTGAAACTGGGACACACAGAGGAGGAGGTAGGTGAGACTCCAGGTTGTCCCTGTCCCTCAAGCTGGGTTTAGGGGGAAGCAACTTATAGTTAGCAAAACCAGGGGGTCACGTGGACACTTGGCTGAGGCACCAGTCCTAGCTGCACCATGCTGTGTGCCCTTGGGCCAGTGTCTTCCCTTCTCTGTGCCTGGGTTTTTATGCTGGAAATTGGGGGTGTCACAGAACTACCCCATAGGCTTGGGAAGATTTGGGGAGTGGGTGCCTATAACCTCCCATGCCCAGGAGCCAGGCTCCTGTGTGGTTGTCATTACTGTGCGTTGGGACTGTCATTGCCATATCCAAAGAATGGGCTGCTCCTGAACTCTGTTCTTCTTTCCCTGACCCTACAAAGGGTGTTGTTTAGTTGTTCCTGTTTTCCACATGGAGRCTCAGAGAGGTTAAGAAGCAGGCCAAGGCCACACAGCTAGTAAACAGTGGAGCTGGGATGTCAGTCAGATGTGTCTGGCTGTGCCCTGCCCTGTGCCACCCACCCACAGATGACCCACGCCATCACCTGCCTCTCCCTGCCCTTATCTGTGCCAAGGGACTGTTCCCAGTGGTTGGGCTGTTGAGGAAAACAAACACCAGCCTCACACTCCCACGCCCCACTCCCAGCCCGTGCACGGGCCCACGCACACACTCACAGCTGCACGTACACTCAAACACAGGCACACACACTGCACCCAGCCACACACTTGAACACGTGTGCACACAGCACACACAGATAGGCATGAGTGCACGCGGAGCACGTGTGAGTGCCACACACTGGTGCTCATGTGCTCAGGAAGCTGTCCCCACGTGGCCAAGGGAGCCCCGGCTCCTGGTTTTTATCCTGCTGACCCCGTGGCCCTCCTCAGGCTCAGGCGTGACCGTGGTCAGAGCCAACAGGCGGCAGAACCTCCTCATCGTTGTTAGAGCCAGGGAGGGGCAGGACCCGCACACACGGCCACGGGGAGCCCCAGCCCTGGCCCGGGAGCCATTCTCTACTCACTTGGTCGACACAGAAAAACTCCACGAGGAGGAACCATGAGCCCATTGCACAGAGAAGAACACCGAGGCTCAGTGAGCCGGGGGTCCGCCCAGGGTGCACAGCCGGCCCATGGTGGGCCAGGTGTGTGGGACAGAGCAGCCCTGGACACGCAGYGAGCAAGACAGGCCGGGTGCTGCCCTCAGGAGGAGACCCAGGCTCACGGGGAGTGCGGGGAGCAGACAGGGAGCGCTGGCAATCCCTTGCCCAGGAGCCAGGCCGAGCTAGCAGGGGCCTGCGGGAGAGGACAGGGAGGCCTTGGGATGACGCTGCAGCTGAGGCCAGGGCCCTGGAGGGCACAGCCGGGGTTTCCAGGGCCAGCACTGCTTCCCCCAACCTTTCCGTCTGTCAGACGTCACCCTCTAAAGTCCTCCTGATCAGTCCCCCTGGGGTATTAAAAGTGCCAGGAGCCAGGAAGCCCTGCCCRCCGCCCGCCCGCATTCCTTCCCACAGCGTGCTGACCCAGCACTTTCCTGGGCCGGGTTGGGGCTGAGCCTCATCCCATCTCAGGCCTGATGGCCTTCCTGTCAGTCCCTGGGCTGGGAGCCCTGGAAGAGCCACCAGGGATTCCTGGGAGGGGGCCCTTTTGTCTTCTTCCATTTATTTATAATGCATGGGCCTCCTCGGTGCCAAGAGGAAGCCCAGTTTTATTTACATGTCAGCACCCCAGAGGGTGGAGGGGCTCACCCRCCACCTTTGTCCCCAGCCGACTCTGGGTTCCAGCTGGCCGGTCAGGACAGTCGTAAACTGCTGGGAAATCAGATGAGTTGGAGGGCTTTCATTTCTCAGATGGGAAACGTGAGGTCCAGGGAGGCCTGATCCGGAGCATCAGGGCCGAGGGCTGGCAAGGGAGTGCTGGTTGTGTCCCCTGCTGTGGACACTTTCCGTGGTGGGGGGCCGTGGCTGGAGACTGCCTGCCTGAGTCTGAGTCCCACTGGGTGTCCTCTGAGGAGTAACTGGGCCCCCTGCCTCTTCCTTCYCCTCTGGGGCATGGGGCTGCTCAGGCAGGCGATGCAGTGTGTGTGGGGGGGCAGGAAGTGCTTCTACAGTGCAGCGGCCCTAGTCTCCCCGCATCAAGTACAGTGTACCCCACCCCCCAAAAGGTGCAGAGGAGCTCTGCTGCAGCTGGTCATCAGGAGGAGGAAAGGGCCCAGAGAGGTGGAGTCTCTTGCCCTGGGCCACCCTTTCCATCTCTGCTGATGACCAGGTGGCCTCTGGCCAGCAGTGTGGAGGGGAGGGGAGTGCGGGTGAGGACTCTGTCCCCAGGATGATGAGTTGCAGGAGACAGGGGACAACTCCTCTCTGTCTACAAAATCAGGGCACTGGCCCGGAGAGGTGCCCCCAGCCCAGGGCAGCTCAGGACTCCAAGTGGCTCCCCGTTAGACCAGGGAGGGGACAGGCCGCCCGGAGCTCCAGGGCTGCAGACGCCCTCCCGGAGCTGCCCTTCCTCCGCTGCTCCGCGGCGTCCTTACCTGGCTCCTCCCGCGTCCTGCTTGACCTTTCCTGAAAGACCAGCTTCAGCCGCTGATGGTTTTGGCGGGTCCCCGAGGAGACCCTTCAGACGGCTGGAGCCGCGCGCGCCGGAGAGAGCCCCTAATTGGGGCGATGAATCATCGCGCGCGCTCGGGGCCGGACACAGAATAGATAGAGGAGCCCGCGAGCCATTGTGCGCAGTTTGGGACGCGGGAGGGGGAGGGGAGGAGCGCGGAGGGCTTCCCCCGCCCTCCGCCCGCGCGCCGCCCCGCCTCCTCCTCCCCAATTAAATGACCCAGCGCGTTGGCAGGCGCCGGAGCTCGCACATGCGGCCGCCGCTCCAGCCGCCCGGGGCCCGCCGCCGCCAACGCCGCCGCCGCGTTCCGGGCGCGCTCGCCGGCGCCGCCTGGGCCCGCGCCGCCGCCGGGGGCTCGGCAGGCCCGGGGGGCGGCGCAGCGATCCGCCCCGCGCCCCGGCCCGCGCCGGCCGCCCGCCGCCAAACTTTGCGGCGCGCACACATGCTCCGAGTTGGGCGCGGCGGCGGGCGCTAGGGCGCGGCCATGAGCGGGCGGCCGGCGCCGCTCTCCCGCAAGCAGCGGCTCATGGCAGCCGTGGGCGAGCGGGCGGCGGGCGGCGGCGCGGCGCTCTCGTGCTTCATCTGCGGCGGCGGCATCGGGCGCGGCAAGGAGCTGAAGCTGCAGGTGAAGGAGCCGGCGGCGGGCGCGGGGGCCCCGGCGCAGCCCTTCTTCCCGTTCCTGCAGCAGCAGGAGCCGGCGCCCGGCGCGCGCGAGCTGTCGCCGGCCGACGGCTGCGTGCTGGTCTGCGCCGTGTGCCGCTGCTTCCTGGGCGAGCAGTGGGCCGCCTTCGAGCGCGCGCGCACGCCGGTGGACAAGCGCATGTACTGGCTCAAGCGGCCCCACCAGTGCGACGCGGGCGCCAGCGGGCGCCGCGGGGGCGCCGGAGCCCCCCGCGAGTGGAACGTCGCCTACGCGCTGGGCAGCGCCGCCGGGGACGACGACGAYGGCGGCGGCCGGGGGCCCCGCGCGGCGGCCGAGGACACTCGAGACTCCGAGCTGTCGGAGCTGTCGGACACCGACCCCCTGTCCGATCCCGACCCGGCCGCGCGCGACGCCAGCAGCCCCCTGCAGGACGCGCCGCCTGCGCGCCGGCCCACGCCGGGGCCCGGGCCTCCCGGGGGCCGCTGCCAGGAGTGGAGGCCGGCGCCGGGACCCGCTCCGGGACAGGACTCAGAGCCCCCTGCGCAGGGGGATATGGAGGAGGGGATCTCCTCGAAGCTCCACGCCGACGTGGAGCCCAAGACCGGAGTCAGGCGCCGGAGAAAGGGCGTTGGAAGGCACTGGGCTCCCGAACCCCGGGCCAGCGTCCTGAGGGGCATTCCTGATCTTTGGCAAGGCCCTCTGAGCCAGGCTGCCCCTACAGATGGCATGAAAGAAGTTCACTTGGGCAAGGCCACCAAGCCCCAGGAGAGCCGSCCCCCCGGGGACATCCTCCGGGGTTACTGCACATCTGAAGACAGTGACATCAACATCACCAGCGAGGAAGAGGACCACAAGGAGCAGCCGGTCCCAGGGCCCGAAGAGAAGGACAGTAGTGGTGGTGTCCTTCGGGCTCCTCTGGAGAGCCAGGCTGTGCCACCAGAGGGCCTGTGCTGCTACATCTGTGGGTCCGTGCTGTCCCCCGCCTCCCAGCGCCAGATCCACGTGCAGAAGCAGGAGAAGCTGGCCCAGGCGCCCTTCTTCCCCTTCCTCTGGCTGCACAGCCCGCCCCCCGGGGCCCAGCCCATCAGCCCGGCGGGCAGCACCCTGGTGTGCTCCTGCTGCTTCTCCTCCCTCACGCAGCAGTGGCAGAGCTTCGAGCTGGCCAGCGTGCCTGTCCTGCAGCGGCTCTACGTGGTGCCCCTGAACAGCCACGCCCCCGGCATGGCCTCCAAGGGCAGGAGGCTCCCCAGGGAGGAGGGCCCCCCCACCAGGGCCCTGCAGGAGGCCTGCTACCTCTGCGGGGAGGACTGTACCCAGGATGCCCGGGCAGTGCCCTCCAGGGCCCTCAACGGCAGCACCAGGAGCGCCATGCATTTCCCCTTCCTCAGCCTCCTGCCCTGCCCGCCCAACGCCCGGGCCCCCAACAAGCGCTGTGAGGTGCGCAGCTGCCCCAAGTGCTTCAGCGTCCTGGAGGACGTCTGGGCCCTGTACCGGGCCTGCCAGAACCAGGAGCTCATCACCTCCGTGCAGGGCTTCCTGGGCAGGTACCACCAGGCCTTCTCCGCCTCCGACCCTGCCCTCGGCGAGCTGCCCGCCTCTGCCCACGGCGGCCCCGCGTCCGTCTGCTACATCTGCGGGGCAGAACTGGGCCCCGGGAAGGAGTTCCAGCTCAACGTGAACCCCGCCAGCCGCCTGGGCGAGAAGGAACCCTTCTTCCCCTTCCTCACCGTCTACCCGCCCGCCCCGCGAGCCAGGCCGGCGGACGCCACTGGTCTGGTGGCCGCCTGTGTGCTCTGCTACCATGACCTGCTGGGTCAGTGGCTGCGGCACGAGGCCCGAGGTGCCCAGCAGGCTGTCAGCGCCTGGGCTCGGCAGTACCAGGTGGAGACCTTCGTGTGCTTCTTCTGCCAGCAGGAGAAGCGGCGCTGCCTGGGGCTGAGGCCCGTGCGGGTGGCCCGGCTGCCCTTGTTCCTCTACACCCTGCGGGCCAGCCACAGCCTGCTGGTGGACGACGGGCGGCAGCTCATCATCGGGGCCTGCGTGGACTGCGGGACCCTGGTGTGCGCYGGTCAAGGGCTCGCCCGCCAGGGACCCTCCGGCTGGAGCTCCCCGGTGGCGGCAGCGACGAAGGTAAGCTGCAGTTTCCGTCTCRTCTGGGACCTTTCCCGAGACCCACGAGGGGACCGGAGGTGTTTTCTGTTCCTTCCCCGGTGCTGTGTGGGCGGTGCCCTCCCTGGGTCACTGAGCCCGCTCCTGGGGTTACCCTGGCCTGGCGTGGCAGGTCAGGAGCAGGCTCAGGAGGGCTTAGAAGAGCCGGGCACTGCTGGCCAGGGCAGGCAGGGGCCGGGCCTGCTGTGTTGGGGCGGCATCTGTCAAGCGGAGGAAGTCGGGGCACGTCTGTCGCCCGCCTGATAACATTGGGAGYGAGTGCGGCCCTGCGGGTCACGGAGAGGTCTGGTACTCACGGGTCTGAAACCCGCGAGCGGCAGGGAAGTCCCTCTGGGCTCTGGCTCCAGTTTTTCACCCAAGTTCACCCTGTTCATTGGAGACGTTCTGGTGGCTTAATGGCAGATGGCAACTGGTTCCCAGACGCAGGGGCAGGCTCTGGGGGACAGTGGCCTGGACAGGCCTTTCCCCCGGGGGAAGAGGTCTTCTCTGTGAGCCAGAGGGGAGTCTCCCTGCCCTCGCGYCTTCCTCTTGCTGCCCCCCGCCCCGTGCCACACGGGCTCAGAGAATCCTGATCCTGCTTTTCGGAGCCCGACCCCGGGTCTGAGGAGGTCTGTGGCAGCCACCGTCCTGGCCACGGGCCATGGGTCCTCATTTCTACCAGAGTTAGACCGGCGTGTGGGGGTCAAAGTYGGTAGCAGTAGCCGCTGGCCGGGGGACCGGGGTGGGTGAGGAGAGCGGGCTCTGCGTGGAAGTGACCTGCCTCGGCCTGACCCGTGCTGAGGGTGAGGTGCCCAGGGTGTGCCCACGCACGGTGACCGTGTCCGTGAGGTGGGCCCGTGGGCCTGGGTGCGCTCCCAGGGAAGCCCGTGCCTGTGTCCTGCGCCTGTGTCCTGCTCCTGACAGCTCTGGCTCCAGCTGCTGGGCCAGAGCACAGCCCTCGCCTCAGCTGGACCAGCGTGTCCTCCGCCGTGGGTGCGGAGCCTGGCCATSCAGCCTGGCTGGGGCTCCCAGAGGGCAGGCCCTGGGCCAGCTGGGCTTGGGCAGCCCAGGTCCCGGCCCAGCCCTGCCCCTTTCTGGAACTGAGCCGCCTGCAGCGAGGTCCTTCTCCTGGTGGCCCGTCGGTCCCCCTGGCCGGGAGGTGGAACTGTGCCGCGGGGCTTGTAGGGACGTGGTGAGGATGGAACCCGTTGGGGACGGTGACGTGCCYGGGGCCAGGATGTGCCGCATTGTGGCCCCCCAGGCCCCTGTGTGTGGGCCGGCTCTAGGGTGCCRTCGTGTCCTGGTGCCAGGCTCCTGGCCCGGGCGCTGTTGGTTTAGCCTGACGGGTGAGAGGCGCACCAGGCTCCGCGCGTCCCCATGGGTGGCCTGCCGACCCTCTCTGCTCAGGGCTCTGTGAGATGGGCTGTGGGCCTGAGTGACAGGGACCTCAGTGATGAGACGCTGCCCTCCCCAGGCCGGCCGTGGGAGCTGGGAGCAKCCTGGTGTCCACCTGGAAAGTGGCCGGTGCCGTTCCCCATGCGCATGGTCGCCTCTGCCGTCCCCTGCCCAGGAGCCTTGGGGTTCTCCTTCCAGAGAAGACATCGAGGCCCGGTGCCCTTGGTGACGACCTGAGGCCCTGAGCCCGTCAGTCCGCCTGGAGGGGCCTGGGCAGCGTGGGGGGGTTGCTGAGCGGGTAGTTGGCAGCCAGTGGGGAGGCTGGGAAGAGGCCGCAGCCTCCCCGGCCACAGCCTCTCCAGGAAGGGGTCAGGCCTGTGGGTCCAAGGCCCAGGGCGGCGGTGACCTTTGGAAGGAAGGCATGGAAGAGCACCCGCCCCCTGGGGGCCAGTCTGTTGGTGGCCGGTGTCTGGCTGCAGGGAGTGGCACCTGGGTCTCAGGCGACACCCCAGGGTGCAGGGACCGAGCCTGCGGGATCCCCAAGTGCAGCCTCTGCCCCGTCCTCTCCTGGAGCGCAGGCCCCGAGCCGGGCTCTGTCCAGGTGC